GCGACGGAGCTGCCGCGAGCGTCATTTCCCGAGGAAGAGAAGGAAATCTCCACGCTGAGAACGCAATGTTCGTCAAGGACCCCCTGTTCCTCTGCCGGGACTGTAGCTGGGAGGGGGACAAGCTTCTGCAGGGAGCCGGTGGCGGCTCAGCTGTGGCAACCTGTTGCGGTATTTCCTCTGCAAACCCCGCAGAGGGTTTAGACGTTGGTGAAGATGGAGACAAACCTTGGGACTTCCGCTGTGAGACTTTTCTTCCCTCTTTTTAGTCAAATATCATGTAAAGAACCATCAGGCAGGCAGCTGCCATCTGGAAAACTTGACAAAGAAGTGGGAAAGTTCACAGCTGGCTGATAAAAGCCCTCAGTGTGAACAACCAGAGGTTTTTCCAGAGCCGTCTTTTTATTTCTAGCGTGAGGAAATATCCCCAAATCCCCCTTCCTGATTTTTGAAGTTTTATTGAGTGATGCTTTGTACTGATAAAAGTAACTCCCAATGCTTCACGGCAGTGAAAGCAGTGTCGAGTCGGCGTTTCAAAGCATTTCTGGACATGTCTCCAAATCCTGCCAACTGCTTCTAAAGACACTCCACGTGTCGGCTGCCAAAACACTGTGTGGGTTTGCCGAATGCCAGCATTCCCACAGCCGGATCTCCACTGGCAGCCCCGGTGCTGCCACGGGGAGGAACCCACCTGCGCTCAGTGCCACAGCATGCTGTCCCGGGTCTCCTGCCCACCTCTCCCAGCGCTGCTCCGCTTGTTTTATCACCTCTGGATTAAATATTTCCCCTTTGTGACTTATTTTTTACATTGTTTGAATTTAAGATGGACTGGCACTCCCCAGCTGGTGCAAGTGCGTGGTGTTAACTCCTGCCTCTCTGGGATGGCATATGGATCTTGGACATCCCCGTGTTAAGCCAGTGTCTTATTTTAAGGATTAATATGCTCAGTTAGCATCGCCTCGGTCTCCTGGGGATCTCTGGATCCTGCGGTTCCTTCCAAATGAGTGGGAAAGGCTGGGGGCAGTTTTCAGCATCCTCACAGTGAGATGGAATTCCTTCTTTTTAGAAGGGCATGGGGATTTTGGAGTCAATACGTGGTGTAAAAATGGGGATTACAAGTACTCAGCATGTTTTAGGGCTCCACTTTTCCTTTGCAGGGGCTGTACAGGAGCTTCTCCACTCATCGTGGGCTGGGAGACTTCATTTGGGGGGTTATAGTTGCTGTTGTTTCTTAAAGGGACCAGGGTTTGGGTTGGTAACGTGATCTTTCATGTCAGAGGTGCAGGCTCTTCCCGACTGCCCTGCTGCGTAGGCTGCCGGTCTCACCTTTGTTAGAAGCGGCTCTCGTTAGCTATCATCACGGTTTCTTTCGATATGCCTTGAATCGATTGATTTCCTTAAGGTGGATGTAGGAGAGCCCGGCAAAGCCGCATTCGGCTCTTCCTCATTTCTCAGTGGCTTCCAAACTCTTGCGCTTTAGGGTTTTGCCCCCCCCACTCCCCAACACGATTTTCGTAAAATCTGTGATGATTTTCCGCTCTGGAGCAGGAAGGGAATTGCCCTTGAATCCTGCAGGCCTGGACTGCAAATTCCTACGTACAGAAACAGTATCCTGCCATGCGGCCTGTGTCTGCCTTCAGCACAGAGAAAACGAGTCTGGAATCAAACTGTTCTACTGCTGCAAAAAATAAAAAGGAGGAGGTGGTTCTTCTCCTTTTTGGTGTTTTCTGAAGAATAATGGGAATAGCGGTAGCCGGAAATGAGACACTCAACCAGGGCGATAAAGTGCCCCTCGAACCCCTCCTTGGATTTGCCTCGTTTTGGGTCGTTGGAGAGGCCGAAATGTTGCCTGCAGCAGCAGAGAGCATGTTTGCCTCTGGGTCACAGTGCAGCAGGTCTCTCTGGGTTAATTAAGGTTAATTAATCGGCGTATTTCTCTCTTGCAGGCTGGTGGTAAGGCGGGGAAGGACAGTGGGAAGGCCAAGGCGAAGGCGGTGTCACGCTCACAGAGGGCCGGGCTGCAGGTAAGGCAGAATGGCACCTGCTGCTTCCCCCATCTGATTGTAAAATGGGCACTTCTGAGTAAAACCTCTGCTTCTAGAAGGCAGGTTGCTCCAAACCCCTGTTTTTTGGGGTGAAAATGGAATGTCTTGTGATTTATGTTGTCATTATGGAGGACCCCTGGGCTCGTGGGGGCCACTTGCTCCCAGCTGTGTCCTGGCTTGGGCAGAATCTGTCTCCCCTACAGAGAGGGTGCGAGGACTAATTTGGATAATTATCATGAAATCGCATGGGAAATGGGTGGGGAGGATCTGCCGTGGGGTTCGTCCTGTGTCTCCCTTGGCTGCACCCTCATTAAAAGCTCATGTTAACATCTGTCTAGGAGCTCCCAGAAGCTGTGGACACGTGGGACGGGGAGTCGGTTGGGCCAAAATCAGGGGGCGTAGAGCATAATTATGCAACTGTATAGGGGGCTATAGGTGTTAACAGGGTATTGATCACTCCCACGCCAGTTCCCGGTGGGCCGGATCCACAGACACTTGAAGACTCGCACCACCAGCCACGGGCGAGTGGGTGCCACAGCTGCCGTCTACAGCGCTGCCATCCTTGAGTACCTCACTGCGGAGGTAGGTCCCTGTGCTTCCCTTCACCCGTTTACAAAAAAAAAAAAACTAAAAATGGTTTCCCTCGGGATCCCGAGTGTCTTCCCGATTTTCTCGGCAGGTGCTGGAGCTGGCGGGCAACGCTTCAAAGGATCTCAAAGTCAAGCGGATCACTCCCCGCCACTTGCAGCTGGCGATCCGCGGCGATGAAGAGTTGGATTCCCTGATCAAAGCCACCATTGCCGGTGGAGGTGGGTATTGTCCCCCCCCGCCCTTGTTCTTCTCCCAAACTGGGACGTTTAGTGACAGGAGGGGAAAAAATATGGGAAAATACATGGGAATTTGGTGATAAACACCAGACACTTGCCGCTTCCCCGGAGTGCCAGAGCGGGGTGATCCATTGAGTGGGAGGAGACGTTCATGCTGGGTTGTCGCAAAACCCCGCTGGGAATCGAGGATTCCTGGGAGCTTTTTGGGAAGTCTGTGAACATCTGACAAGAGAATCCATCTCTTCTCTCCACAGGTGTTATCCCCCACATCCACAAGTCTCTGATCGGAAAGAAGGGACAACAAAAAACGGCGTAGAGAGGGAAAAAAAAAAAGCGGCCTGCTCCCTCCTGTCGTCGTACTGTACCTGGGACAGAAGAAATCTTGGGGATACGTGGAATTTTTTTTTTAAGGAAATAGTTCAAAGGAAGAGCATAGACAATTGACTGTAGAGAGGAGAAAACATTGGTATGGGCTTTAGATTCAAAGTTTGACACAAAAGTTGTACCTTGTCGAGTGGCAGCAGTCAGTCTGGCGCTCGAGGGGCGCGGCTGCTCCCCGGGGTTTTATACAAAAATGGAATGGATAAACCATTTTTTACAAAAAAAAAAACCAAAACCAAGCCCACCTCTGCCCTGGAGTCGGTGGGGGGAAGGCAGCGCGGGGTCGTTTGGGCTCCCGGCGGCAGTGGGGGGGGGCGGGGCCCCCCTGCCACCGGGACTGGGTGGTGGGTGCCGGCACGGCGCTGTCCTGTGCCAAATGCAAATGTGTCCCCGCCCTATATGTAAATATACTCCGAGCTGCCCCGCCCTGTATGCAAATAGGTGGTGGGAGGGGCGGGATGTGCCCTTCCGGGCTCCGCCCCCTGGCCCCACATGGAGGGGCCGGCCCTGCGTCCCGGACCCCGCCCTTGCTGGCTCTGGGTCAGAGAGGGGGGGTGGCCCTGCATGTCCTTCTGGCCTGGGCATGTGCATGCTAGGTGTCCGTCTGTCCTGGATATCCGGGGTCCTGGACATCTGTCTGTTCTGGGCAGGTCTGCTGTGGATGGATGGCTGTCCTGCGTGTCCATCTGACCTGCATGTGTGTGGGTTCTGGGTGTCTCATCTGTTCTGGGTGGTGGGTGTCAATCTGTCCTGGGCATTGGGGCAGTGGGTGTCTGTCCTGGGAACGTGGGTCCCAGGAGTCCATCTGTCCTGGTCGTGTGGTCCTTGCTCAGCCCGCCTGTCACTGTGC